TAAAAAAAATTTTAATTGGAAGATAATTGCTTCATAATGTTGTGTTGATTTCTGCTGTACAATAACTGGAATCAGTCACAATTTTATATATAAATATAAATATATATATCCCCTGCCTCTTGAGCCTCCCTCCCCACTCCCATCCCACCACCCTTAGCTCATCGCAGAGTGCCAGGCTGGATTCCCTGTGTTATATAGCAGCTTCCCACTGTTTCCTATTTTACACATGGTAGTATATATATGTCATTGCTACTTTCTCAATTTATCCTACGACCCTGTTATCTTAACAGACATGTTTATTGGATATTTAGTTGGAAACATCTATGATTGATGCAGCTGGCTACTGAACTATGTAATCTTCCAGGATAAGGTATTTTGTAAAATATACTAATTCTCCTGTAGCCACGTATATCTTCTATTCTACTTTCCGGACTGTCACTAGATGAGGAAGGAACCTCTCCCACACCCTCTGTTCTTTCTACAAGTACAGAGTGAAATGGAAAGTGACATTATTAATCTTCATTGTGTCAACCATATTGATGAAGTGACAGTTTCTTTTAAAACTTTAAAACGACCACTGCAAGTATGAGAGGTGTCAAGTTTGCAAATTTGAAAAATATCAATCTATATGTTAACACTGTTGTCAAGTACATTCCTTAAGTCTAATTCAATATGCATTTCTATAGCAAATATTTTTAACTAAAAAAACAGACAATATACAGGACAAGTCCCCGCAACAAAGAATTACCCAGCTTGAAATGTCAATAGGGCCTAGGTTGATAAACCCTGCTCCAGCCAGTTTCTAGGTTTCCCATGAGTTGCTTGAGCTCCAAGAGAAATAGAGGGGGACTTGCCAGTTGACTAATCACAGCAAAGACTGAGTTAAAATCCAGTTTTGCTGGCAGTGACTTAGTTATTCCTCTTATAATTAAATCTTAATTTTGTGTTTCCAAAGTCCACATAGTATTATCACATTGCAATTCGCACCTGCTGTTTGTTGACTATATCTACGGAGCAGGCAACTTTAGCATAAACACCTACATGCCTTTCTTGTACTGGTCACACTCTCTGATTATCTAAAATACTGCCATTCTTTTTTCTCTTCATATCATTAATTTTTCTCAGATCCAAATTCTCAGGCTTAGTTTTCTACATTCTTCATTTTTACATTTCTATATCCAACAGCAATTGACTAAACAACTTAAATGTCCCCTAAGCACAACAAGAAGGCACATGTGAGCCTGAAACAGTTTTTCTTGTGCTAAGGAAACATCATACAGATATGCAAAATCAGTGCTTACCTTACAAAAGTCTGTCTCCCACTTGGCTCAGCACCTCAGTGCCAAGTTCACACGTGCTTATAAGCTCTTGTTACAGTTGACTGACTCCTCCTCTCTGAAAGGGCAGAGTCCAGTTAAGGAAAAGCCAATCCCATGGTATTCAGGGCCACTGGTTCTATGCTAGGTTAAAAAAGAAAAAGGCAAATTGTCCTCTTATCAGAGTCCAGTTAAGGAAAAGCCAATCCCATGGTATTCAGGGCCACTGGTTCTATGCTAGGTTAAAAAAGAAAAAGGCAAATTGTCCTCTTATCAGGATATAACTTGTTAATAACTTCTTTTCAAAATCAGCAATTAAAGATTAAACATAATATTTCAAGTTGATTGTATCCTCTTGCCAGTCAATGAAGGATGGCCTTTGGAGAAAACTTACTTCTCCCGAATTGACTTTCACGAATTGGAGATGGGGACTAAAGCAGATGATAAATGTCTACTGTGGGGACACCAGGGACCTGTGGTCATGAAAGCTCACATGAACCTCTGCAATACTTTTACACTGAGTTGCAGATAAAATATAGGACACCCAATTAGATATGAACTTCAGACACATAAAAAATAATTTTTCATAGAAGTATGTCCTAAGCATTGTATGACATGGGTTCATGTTTAGTTGTGTCCGACTCTGCTACCCTACGGACTGTACCTGCCAGGCTCCTCTGTCCATGGGGTTTTCAAGGCAAAAATACTGGAGTGGGTTGCCATTCCATCTTCCAGGGGATCTTCCTGACCCAGGGATTCAAACTGGATCTCCTGTAGAAAATTACAGGCAAATTCTCTACAATCTGAGCCACAATGGTGTTTTCCAAAAAAAAAAAAAAAAGTCCACGTCTAAATACCTGGAACCTCTGGATGGGACAAAATTTGGAGAAACAGTCTTTGCAGATGTAATTAAGGAACCTGAGATGAGACTATCCTGGATTATATGGATAGGCCCAAACCCAACAGCAAGTGTGCTTATAGCAGAAGAGAAAATACACAGACTTACCCATATGGGTGATGTGAAGATGAAGGCAGAGATTGAAGTGATGTGGCCATGAGTCATGGAAAGGAAGGATGCAAAAAGTCACCAGAAGCCATAAGAGGCAGGGAAGACTTCTCCCAAGAGTGTCCAGAGTCAATGCAATACCTTAACTAAGACTTTAGGCCTCCAAAAGTGTGAGAGAATTCATCATGTTGTTTTAAGCCCCCCTAATTGTCGTCAGTTGACAGAGCAACCATAGAAAACCAACACACAGACCTGCTTACTTCCCCACAGCACAGGATTACTGTGCAGCAAATCCTACACCGCTCATGACTGCATCCATCCCACGATTTTTAAATTTATCGCTAAGAGGTAAGGACTCTTTTTCTAAAGAAAATCACACTATTCTATCACACTAAAATTTGATAATTTATATCTTTTATAATTCAATTTCATTCATTTGATTAAATATTCAGCATTCTAATTTTCCCAATGTCTCATAAAGACTTATGTGCAGTTGGTTTATTTGCATTTGGATCAAAGCAAGGTCTGTCCATAGCACTGGAGTGACATGAACATCTTGGTCTTGAAGACTTGGATGAATGAATAGAGCTGTCAGGCAGATGAGAGTGGGTGTGGACTGTGAGGAATTCCCACAGCCCTGACCCCTGGGCCATGGAGATGTGTGTGGAGGTACAACCATTCATGGTGGAGCCCTGGGGATACACAGGGCCGGGCCCCCATCAGGAACTCACAGATGCTGAGGGAGGCCAGTGGCCTTCACGGTTACTGGAGGTTTGCGGGGCTCTGAGGGAAGCAAAGAGGTGCGTCCAGCTCTCCCCAGGGAGCACATAGCTCACTGTGGCCACCGGGGTGGAGCTGGCCTGGGAGGGAGCACAGGTGCCCAGGCAGGAAGGAGGCCACCCCCCCACGTCTTGTGTGGTGGGACTGGCACTCGGGGTGAGAAGGGAAGGAAGGAGGGCACCCCGCAGGCAGCGGGAGTCACTGAGGGAGATAAAACAGCGTGGTGATTCTCAGGTTTGCATTTTAGAAAAATATTTTGATGTCAGTGGAGAACAGACCAGAGTGGGGGGAAGGACAGTCAGGGACCCCATGTGTCTGTCAGCTCTGGCCCCGCCCCTTCCCCGTTGGGGGGTCAGGGGTGAGGGTGAGGCAGGCGGGGAGCTCACTCCAGGAAGAAGAGAATCAGATACCCCGAAGCCTGGGTTTCCTGGGGAGTGTTCACCGCAGGCCCCACATGTGACCAGAGCCAGAATCACTCCCAATCCAGGCTCCCTGGCTCCGTGAGAGGCCGGGGCAGTGACATCATATATATTCATTCATATCAAATTCACACATGTCACCTGTGTCATAGAGATCAGATCTGGGGGACCCCGTCAAATGGGGGTGAGGCCCCTGTGCAGGGCCCCACAGAACTTTCTGCAGCAGAGCTGTGATGAACAGGCGGCCACAGTAGGGTCCCCTGAGCAGAGTTTGGGTCCACTGGGTTCTCATTATTTCCCCACCTCCCCGAACACTGGAGAGCCCACAGTAGAAAAAAAAATAGCAGTTCAAAATGCATAAGAAAAGAAATTTTTATTATCAGAAGAAAAATGTCTCTCAAAGAAATTTTTTAAAAATGTCTTTTTGCCATTGCCAGTGATAAAAGAAATGTTCACATATTGAGATATAGAAAAGTCATTCTGACTTATACGTGAGTCAACTTGAATTTTATGCCAACTCAAATACTTGTCTGTGGCCGATTAAACATACAGTCTATTTCTGCTTTAGTTATTAGAGAAAAGAGCACTTTGACCAGAAGGAAAGACAGTCCATGTTAAAAATAAAGATGAAGGGACTTAGTTGGTGGTCCAGTTGTTAGGACTCCATGATTGCATTGCAGGGGGCACAGGTTTGATCCCTGGTCAAGGAACTAAGATCCTGTATCCTGCAAGCAGAAGTGGGGGGGTTGGAGGTGGGGAGTGGGGAGATTAAACGCTGTCCTTCCTGGGACGCCAGTGCTGGTCCTCCTTCCATGATAAGAGTCCTGTCAGGTGCCAAGGCCATGCTGACTGTACATGTGCTGATCTGTGTGGTGTTTTTTTTTCAATCTTGAAGAAATGTATCCCTGACTCATTTAACGTCCTTTGTTCTGACAAAGATAATCGAAACTGTGCTGGAAACCATATATGTCCAGAGCAAGCTGCTCAGAGTAATCTGGGAAGGTATCTTTCTGGCTAGTCCTCAGTTTGCTCAAGTAAAGCTCTTGCCTGTTCTTATTATTATTTGTTGATTGTTTTCATTGACACCAGAAAAATAGCTCTTTCCTGTGGAAACCTAAGATTGTCAGATTATGAATTTCTACACTTGATTCTTTGATAAGCTATGTGACAGATGTTATATGATAATTCTTACCAAAAAAATCAAGGGGATGACATAATCTATATTTCCCTTTTGTATTTAATTTTTAATTCCGAAAAAGAGATGTGCTAGAAAGAGATGGAAAATCTGATTTTATATTCGATTCTAAAGGAAAAGAGCAACTAAATCTGCTCATTGGAGCTTTATTATTTAATGGCCACTAAAACTTTGGAATAGTTTATTAGTCTCACAATACCCATGGTCTACACTTAGTAAAAACTTCATTGCCAGAAGTTTCATAAGTTTGGTCCTCAATGTTCTGGGTGGCCTCACTGGCTTTATTAAAACTTGAAAATCTTTCTGGCTTGTTCAAGAGTTTTCTCAGTCCCCGGAGGCTTCCTCTGGCTGCCAGGCTGCAGAAACTTCTTCACGGCCGGGAGATTGCTGACTCTGGTTTTCAGGCCCTGCAACCCACAAGAGCACAGGTCAGAGTGCCGCTAAAGACCACCCCTGTCATTGACACAAGCCAGCAGGGACTCTGAGACCCTCCCAGACAAGGTCCAGCTGAGGCCCCTCCATCAGCACCAGGAGAAGACTGGACATGGACATCCAGTGAGCCAGGAAGATGACAGCCCAAAGCATTTTCCCCAGAGATGTCTTACTGTAAGATTCCATTCAGTGTCCTGATCTTCCTACACATCAGTCTTGCAAGTTCACCCTCAAGTGCAGTGTGAGGAAGAAAAAAGTGTCAGACATCAGCACAGATTAAGCTCCAGGTATCAAGACAAGAAGAGATAGGAGATGGGGCTGGAACTGAAGACAGAAAACATGAAAGGTAATGTGTGACGTCAGTCAGAACCAATCTGCCCTCGGAGAGAGAGAAGGGGAGAGACAAATCAACGTGTAAGAGAAGGAACAGGAACTGAGGGGAAGAAATGATACGGTGGGGACCCTAGCACTGCGCTCCCAGTGTTCAGAGAACAGATTCTGAGGTGGGAGGTGTGGGCACACCCCCATCCCTACCCCTCCACCACCACTCCATCCCTCCCACCTCCCAGTCCAGGGCCGTGGGAGAGCTCACCTTCAGCAGAGGGAAGTTGGCCAAAAGGCTGGGGTCCAGCTCTTCCACATAGTAGAGCAGTTCAACCAGGTGGATGTCAGCCTTGCTCAGCTTGTTGCCCACCAGGTAGTCTTGTCCGTGGCTCTTCAGCACCTGGCGAATGGAGGGGTCAGATCAGGAATGCAGGTCCAGAGAGCCCGGGCCCTGCTCCTCCCCTGCCCCCTACCCAGCCCCACTTCCCCCTCTGCCCCTCCCTGGGCGGGTGGGGACCCCAGACCTTCTGCTCCCCCCAGCTCAGTGAGATGGGCCAGTTGAGTCCCTGCTGTTCCCTCCTCATCCCCAGTGGAAGCCAGACTATAATTTCCTTTTCCTTTTCCCTCCTCGCTGTGGCTGCCTTACTTCTTCCACTGGGCCAAGGGCTTAGCACCATCTGCAGAGTGTTTCTGTTGACCCCACACCCTCAAGTGTGCAGCCCTGAACTTCACAACATGACCCTTCATCCATCTCTCTCTCGCCTCTCTCTCTTGTTCTCTCTCTCTGTCCCTCTCATCTTTCTCCCTTGGGCAGTGACTCCAACTTCTTAACAACCTTCTTCTACCCTGAGCAAACTATTTCAGTCCACATTTCTCTTCTTTCCTGCTTCCTGATTTCCCGGTCTCTCTCTGGGACCTTAAATAAACTGGGTCAACTTGAAGTCCCTTCTCCCTGATTCCTAACTTGCACTATGTTACAATTCTTATGCTAAATGTCTGGGGATGAACTTCACCGATGACTTAACTCACTCTGTTATATAGTCAAAATTATGTGTTTGATTGACAGAAGAGGAATGGAGAGATAATCACATATGATAATGGAAACCAAAGCTTAATTCTGGTGTCCACATGGTAGGTTCATACGAGTTCATTTTATACATTTTAAACTTTTCTGCATGTATGAAATGTTTCATAGTAATATGTTAGGGAAATATATTATATTTATTAAAATATTCCAGCAATATGAAAATCATAATGTATAAAGAGAAAAATGCATACAGCACCACTAACTAATGTAATAACATTTTGGCAAATACACTTTCAGATTATATATACATACAGAAGCATGGAGGGTTTCCCAGGTGGTTCAGTGGTAAAGAATCTGCCTGCAGTGCAGGAGACCAGGGTTTGATCCCTGGGTTGGGAAGATCCCCTGGGGAAGGAAATAGCAACCCACCCCAGTATTCTTGCCTGGGAAATCCCATGGACAGGGAAAGCCTAGTGGTCTACAGACCATGAGGGTGCAAAGAGTTGGATATTACTGAGCAACTAAAAAAGAAAACAAAGCAAAAAATATAAAAGCATGGACAAATGGATAATCATTTGGAAAAGCCATCAAAACATATTTTGTAAAATATAATTTTTACTTATGCTATCAGGGGGCCCTTTGTTTTCAAAGTACCCTTTGTTCGTCAGTGCTCATGCTCAGTTTTGTCCAGCTCTTTGTGACCTCATGGACTGTAGCCTGCCAGGCCCCTCTGTACATGGTATTTTCCAGGCAAGAATACTGGAGTGGATTGCTATTTCCTCCTCTAGGAGAATCTTCTCAACCCATAAATCAAAGTACAGATGAACTCAAACTGCAATCATCAAAGAGCTTATCATCTCGTGAATGTTGCATAAACTCCCAGCACCTCAAGGGCCGGGAGGGTGTGCTTTCTGATTAATATTTGATTCTTTGCTCCTTGAATATGGCCAGATAAGCAAGCAATGAATTAACATTTGCTGAATAAATGAAAGAATGATCCTATGCTGTGTTAATCTTTATCTATGTATGTAACCCTCCTGAATCTCTTAAAATCACTTTTTCTCTAGGTGAATCATTTTTGTTTAGCATGATTTCAGGTAATTTTGATCTTGAAATGCTCTCCTCTTACCATCAAGAAGAAACATTACCTAAGATATATACTAGGCGTAATGATGGAACATTATTTCCTTGGCTTTGTATGACCTTCTTCAAGAGTCTGAGAGCCAAGTCCCTCAAAATTTGCGACTATTTTCTCCTGAACATCTTTTCCTCTGTCTCTTCCTCCCCAGTACTGCCCCCATCTCTGTTGAGAAATATTTCATCCATCCCAGAAATGCTTCCACATTCTCCTGACAGGCAGCTGCTCTCACGTCTCCCTGCTCATGGTACCAGAATATTTTCTGATGTATTGCTAACATCATGCTCTTCTTGGATCAAAGCCCCTGCACTGTGTTCTCCAGAATCCATCTACTCCAGGCTCCAGTGTGGCTCTCAGAACTTCCACAGTCCAAGCTCTAAGTAAAACCATGAAATTCCATTGAACAGAGAATTTCAGATTGGGTCTGAGTCAATAGAAATTATGCTGAAAAATGACAATGTGTGTAAAACTGGTACAATTCTCCCTCAGAGTCAACTTTTAGAAAATGCCCTGAGCATCAGGATGCTGCACTAGTACTCAGGAAGGTTCACAGAAGTGAAGGTCGATCCCCCAGCAACGCCAGGCACTATGTTCCTTTGTCCTCTCATCTCAGTCTCAAAACCACTAAACAGTCCACTTACTTTTTCAAATGCAGGGAGATAACGGTTTGTTGTCCTTTCTTGGATCAGGGTCAACTTGGCATTTTTTTGATCAGGTGGGCACAGGGGCAAAAGCAGGATCATTTCACCCAAGTCTGCCACACCCTCGGTGTACATATCAATCCTGAAAGACAGAATGACCAAATTGCCAAATGTCTCCTGCCTTAGACTTTCTAGTTTAAGAATAGATAGGAATGGGGCATCAAAAGATGGTAAAGTAATTTTCCACTGGGTACATTTTTCTAAGCCAGTAATGGAGTTATGATTTTTATTAATTTTAATATTTCACCCTAGAACAAGCCATCGATGTAGACATAGCTAATATTTTGGTTATATGCATGATCAAATATAGGGACAAAGCATAGTGGGGACCCATTCATAGAGGTATAAGTGAAATGGTTTAATCCCTGCAGGTAACCTCTGAGACCATCTGAGATGGTTTGCCATCTCTGCTGTAATATAATCTATGCACAGTTAGTGTGATACATTAGCACCATCTCAGTCACGTCTAGAGAAAGTCCTGGCACCGTGATCCCAGTTATGTCCCTCTAGCTCTCCCTTTCTCATCCTGTTACACAACTAGGTCCATTTAGATGTTCAGTATCAGTAGTTCCTCCAGTTATTTCTGATAGAAATGGTTCCACAACCTCCTCCATATATGATTGCCCGACTCTGGCCTCATTTGCATTTCTTAAGACTCCAACTCAAATATCCCCTGAAATAGTGCAATTCTTCATACAGTTTCAACAATGAAAATTCCAGGTGATTTTTGTTTTTGTTTTTGTTCCAAAAGGATTTCCTACAAGAGTTGTTTTTTTGGTAATAAAAGCTTTATTGAAATACATTCACATAGCATTACTTTCATCCTTTAAATGGTACTATTCAGTAGTTTTTAGTACATTCTGAAATCATTACCATGTCCTAATTCCAGAATTTTTTTTTTTATCATTTTATCCAAAAGGAAATCCAGTACCCTTGACAGTCACTCACCATTTCCTCAGCATTATAGCCTCAGGCAACCACTCACTATTATTTCTATTTCTATGGATTTGAATGTCAGGACATTTAATATATTTGGAAACACAATATGTAGCCTTTTGTGTCTGGTGTTTTTCATTTAGTATTTTTCAAAGTTCATCCATGTCACATACATCAGTACTTTACGTGCTAAGTCACTTCAGTCGTCTCTGACTCTTTACAACCCTATGGACTGGAGCATACCTGGCTCCTCTGTCCATGGAATTCTCCAGGCAAGAACACTGGAGTGGGTTACTGTGGCCTACTCCACTTTACTGCTGTTCATGGCTAAAAATATTCCATTATAGGGGTGTATCATTCTTTGTTCATCCATTCATCAGTTGTTGGATATTTTGTTTGTTTCCACTTTTTGAATATTATGAGCACTGTGCACTTCTGTGTACAAGTTCTAGTGTGGATGTGTTTTATTTTTGTTTTTTTTTTCACTATGAAGTTTATTGTGGGTAACTTATAAACAGGCAAGGAAGACAGTGCAGACAATGATCCACAGACAATTACAGCTGCACTTCGTGCTGCCAAAAGGGATCTAGGGGAATTTAAAGGGGTCAACGGAGAAGCCAATGGCAATCCACTCCAGTACTCTTGCCTGGAAAATCCCATGGACGGAGGAGCCTGGCAGGCTGCAGTCCATGGGGTCGCCAAGAGTCCGACCCGATTGAGCGACTTCACTTTCACTTTTCACTTTCATGCATTGGAGGAGGAAATGGCAACCCACTCCAGTGTTCTTGCCTGAAGAATCCCAGGGATGGGGGAGCCTGGTGGGCTGCCGTCTTTGGGGTCGCACAGAGTCGGACACGACTGAAGCGACTTAGCAGCAGCAGCAGCAGCAGCAGCAAAGGGATCAAAACTAAAATGAGAATCTGACTACCAAGTGAGAAGCAAGTCTACACTGAAGGAACTGGTGGTTTTTCCTCCCCTGGGGATCTCATGACCATTAACCTTCTGTGTCAACAAAATGCATTCTTCTGGTTTTCTTATCAGATGAAGGCAAGGGTAAAAACTGATGGGGAATTTATCCAGCTGGGGCACATTCTTCTTTGGGAGGCTAAAGTGTAGAAAGATGAGGGTGTAGGATTGGTGGCCTAAAGATGGGGGAGAGGGGACAAAATGGAATCAGTATGGTCCAGCCACACATCCTCACAAATAATCCAGTGGAGCTGAAGACTAGGTTTCAGATAAAATGTTAAAGAGCAGGATGTTAATGAAAGTGTCTGAAGTCATGAGCTGTTTAGTGATGAACCTACGATGGGAGTGCTGGCCATTCCGCCCCAGAGACTGTGCTTTTGACCACAGCATTGTGCTATCATGTTGCTACCTACTGACACGTACCATGCTGAACTTGAATTGTGAAATGTGAATGTGTTTTTTACTCTTGGGTGTATACCTAGGAGTGGAATTGCTGAGTCATATGGTAACTCTTTAACTTTTTGAGTAACTGCCAACAGTTCTTTACATTATTTTAGTGTCAATCAGCTTGTCCCATTGCAACAGAGAGGATTTCCCCCAGTTTTGCTTGATTTGAATAAATCTGGCTGCTTCAGACTTAAATTAAAATGTTCCAGATAACTCTGGTGTCTTGAGTTATCTGCTTTGTTATCCACTGTTATCCCCAAAGTTATCCACTTTGTTATTCCCTGTCAAGTGACCGGTCCACTAAGAGGACTGATAAATTAAGCTCCTGGTTATCATTCTAAAATTTCTGGAACTTAAGAATCAATTCCTTTAGATCTTCTTCTTCTCAGACTTTATCTTCTAGACACTCAGACATTTTGTCCCTTGTTGGGTGGTGGGTGTCTAGTCTGGGCCCCTGGAGTCATGGTTCCACCTTCCTCCCGGCTTTATAGTTCACCCATGTTTGGAATCCTCCGTCACTGTGCTATAGCCATGGACCACAATTTCTTACATAAGCTCTTGATTCCACTCCAAGTTTATTCTTCTCTCATCTTCATAGGTCCCTGCAGTACTAGACCTCAGTTACACCATTAAGGTCTATAGCTGCTGTTGGTCATGATCCCCATGAACATATCCTAATCACTCAGGGAAACACCTAGGATTGTTCCTACTTATCACTCATGAAAGAACAGAAAAAATACCGTACAGGGCTCTCTCCTTCATGTCTTTCCCATAGAGATCATATTTGCTGGCAATGTAGTTGAGAATGGCTCTGGTCTGTACCAGCTTCATCCCATCAATTTCAACCATTGGTACTTGCTGGAACACTAAACTCCCATCTTTTGAAAGGAGAAAAGAAGAGAGAAATATTGGATGAATTACACCCTTTTAGGATGAAAATAAAAATGTTGACATAACTGAAGATATAAAATGAAATACTAAAATGACCTGGAACACTTAAGCAGGATGACATTTTGTTTTTGGCTTCCCATAGTCCTTTTCCTGCTCAATCTTTTACTTTTTTAACCCATTATTTCATTTATCTTTTTACTTGCCATTCAGATACATGGGAGATTCCTTCTAATTCTATTTGTCTTTAGGGATATTTTAGAAAGAAGTTGGAAGAGGCTGCAATAGGGCTGCCACCCAGTTGCCAATATAAATGAGAAGTTCTAAATAAGTCTCACATCATATAAGGCAGATTTTGAGAGATTTCTATGTGCAGGTCCCCTTTCCTGCTCACTGAGTCTGCAATATTGCTAGACTTGTCAAACTTAGCAGAAAAAAAGGGCTCATGGCAATTTCTGGGCCTCGTTTTCCCCTCTTCTCTCTGATGCATGTGTTTTCCTGACCTTGGGTGGGAGGGCTGTGGCATCCTGAACTGATACGGTCACTCATGATGCAGAAAAGCAGAAAGAGCCCAGTAAGGGCATTCACAGGGCACTGGGGATGGTTCCTTTAGCAAATACTAGAGTTCCAGCCCTTCCTAGTCCCAAGTGAGCTGCAAGACCTTCTCAAGGAGCCATATCCTTACCTTTGACCACATTTCTTCCTCTCCTCTGATCCCATTCCTACCTTGCACACACAAGGCCTTGTTGGTATTTAAACCTCAACTTGTGGCTGAAGAATTCAGTTTCTTACCATGTCTTAACTTATCCAAATCTTCTGAACTTTCTAAAAGTTTCTCTTCAAACTGGAAAACAGAAACAGTCGATGAGTTTTTGTTATTTCATTCTCTGGGATTGCTGAACTCGCCTGGCATCTGTCTGCCGCCCACTATGGAGACTATAGGATTTCCAAGTTCAGCAGGGTGCACAGAGGACAGTGATCAAGGCCATTTGGAGATTTAGACTAGAGCCACCAAGATAAAAGTGTGGGTTGCAGCAAGTAACTGCTTATTTTGCAGGTTAATTCACCTCTACCCTGTCCCCACCTCTGTCAGTGATTAGGTAATGATTTGGGGGGAGGGGAATGTCACTGGAGGGAAGGGACTGGGAAATTCTTCTAGTTATGAAGTTTTAATGTCTCTGGAAAGCCTTTCTCTCCCTGTGAAATCAGGACAGGAATTTGGGGTGTCCCCAGCATGATGTTTCCATGGGGCCACTGACTCCTAAGATGCTGCAACCAGGGACCTCTGCTGTATATTACCTCCCTCCATTCAAATTTTTATTTTAAACAAGGGTCTTGATGATGAAAAGTTTGAGAATTGGGGGGTTTCTAACTGGGGCTTCCTTGGTAGCTCAAACAGTAAAGAATTCGCCTGCAGTGCAGGAGGCCTGGGTTCGATCCCTGCGTCAAAAAGACTCCCTGGAGAAGGAAATGGTAACCCACTCCAGTATCTTGCCTGGAGAATTCCATGGACAGAGGAGCCTGGTAGAGTACAGTCCATGGGGTTGTAAAGAGTCAGACTGAACTGAGTGACTAACACTTTCACTTTTACCTTCAACTGACTCGGTGAAACAGTTTATTGGGGATCTACATGATTCCATAGGGTTAGACCACACAGATAGTGAGGTGTGTGGGCAACAGTTGGCAAAGTGCCCAGTTTAAGACAACATGAGGGGTGGTGGGTGGTCACTGTGGGAAGGGGTCAGAGGAAGGATGGGACTTGTTGGTGAGCTGTTGCTCATGAGGCTAAGGGAGAAGAATGGGGTTGTGAGGATCAGCCTCTGGGCCCAGAGAACCCAGAAGTCTTGACCAGTGGCCTCTGGTCAGCCTTGCCCCACATCCTCCTCCCTCGGGCTGGGCTGGATAAGAGGAGGTCTGGATGCTCTCAGTATCTCCTCCTCTTCACCCTCCTGTGCTGAACTCATCCTTCGCAGGGACTCTGAACACATCCTTGAACCAAGGCTGGACCACAGCAAAAACTATTGGTTGTTGATTTATAGAAAATAAACAACCTAGAATGGTTCAATTTGTTTTTCTGTGTACTTGTTTCTTCACACACTTGAGAATGGATCAAGCGGCAATCAAGAAAGTGTAATCTGAGGCTCCTTTTAATCTGAGGCCAATACTTTGGCCACCTGATGCAAAGAACTGACTCCTTGGAAAAGACCCTAATGCTGGGAAAGATTGAGGGCAGGAGGAGAAGAGAATGACAGAAGATGAGATGGTTGGATGGCATCACCGACTCAATGGACATGAATTTGAGTAAGCTCTGGGAGTTGGTGATGGACAGCGAAGCCTGGCGTGCTGCAGTCCATGGGGTCACAAGGAGTCGGACACAACTGAGTGACTGAACTGAATGAACTGAACTGAATCTGAGGCTCAGGTAAATATGTTAGGAGGCTAAGGGAGCACACTAGAGGTTCCTTTGCAGGACGCCACCTCACCTGAGACCCTCCTTTACTGCTTGCTCTCCCCTAAGGGATCAAATCTCCAGAGTTTCTCCATGATTCTGAGGTAGGTGATTGATGGGCCTCTGGGCTGGATTGCTGGTTTTTGCTAAGTGGAATAAAGCTGATGCCTTGTTTTCACTCAAATACCAAGGACAGAGCCCTTGTCCTTGAAGCTGAGCTCTGCTGGGATGAAGATAAAGTGGCCACTCCTGAGGTCAAGGAAGACTTCCCTGTCTGCACATCCACAGGAAGTCTCCTTGGGGTCAAAAATGGAGGGGTTGCCTCCCCATAATAAGTATGGACATGTGCCCACAGGCATCTGCAGTGGGATTCATCTTAGCCAAAAGTTGCACGCATCCCGGGGAGGGTCCTAGGACCAGGTAGATATGGAAAAAGAAACAAGCTAACTGGCCAAAGGTAAGCAAAGATCTGGAAGGACTGTCTTATATAAGTGATTGAATTCACCCCTTTACTATGCTTCTCCTGATTAGAGAGGACACCTATACATTTTCTTTCTAGGTGTGTTTCTGCCTTGCTTCTGTCTTAAATAACTACTTCTCCATGTGCTCTCCCGTACGCTGTGCTCCCTTAAACCTTGCGCGTTTTCGCCTCCTTGAAACATTCTTGTTTTCAAACGGGGAAAAGAGCCTTGGCTACTTTGCTTTTAGCCTCCAGCCCCTGGTGGTCTAGTGATTGGTATTCCTGGTTCAGTTCCTGGGCAGGGAACTAAGATCTCTTCTCAGCACTGCAGTCTCTCCGAGATCCTTTGGTGAGAAACCCAGGAGTTCAAGGTGAAGTGCAGATGTCGCTGAAACTATTGGCTGGAGACTCCTGACTTTCACTCTCTCTTCCGCAGTGCTGGGATTTTCTTTCCCGTCTTACTTGCACAGCAAGGTTTCTTTTTTACCTAATTCTTTAAAATCCTCTCGGGGAAAGACTAGCTGAAGTCTTGCTGCTGCCAAGCCCATACCTTCAGTGTCAGGTGAAACCCTCAGGTCCTGACGGCTGTGGCACTTTCCACTGTAGCCAATTCCAGTTCCTCCAGGAGTTCCCCCTCACTCCAGGCCTTGGCAGCACCTAGGCTGGGACAGACTACTTACTGAGCAGGCCAGTTCCAATCAGCCTGCATCCTGGGCAGTATCTGTCATCTATAAAACTTAATGGAAAACCTGCAACCACTCTGTGCTGGTCCACACGTCCTCTCCAGGTATGAAAGGAGGACTCCTTGCTCAAGGTCAAGAACAACTGGAGACTGCTGCTTAAAAATCAATGGGGGATAGAGGATGCCCCAAACCCTGTCAAGGAATAAGGTCAAAGTAAATTCAGGGGACACTCTGAATCTCCTTCAGGTGCCTCCTAAATGTATCAAGGATGGTGGATTACGTAGCTAGAAGCGGTCTCTGTTCTGGGTTGCAGGTTATTCAATATAGGAGGATCCATTTCTAAGCCAGAAGAAACACCTCTGGAGTGTATCCTTAAGAACTAGCAAGTTTTTACTGAAACAGTGCCTGGCCTTTATGTAAATTGGGGGATGAGGAAAATGGCCTGAAAATGAGTCTCTTACAATTCGATTTTTGTTGCCACAGGGTGAGATAATAGACTGTTTCCTTATGTTCAAGTCTTCAAGGCCTTTTATCATAATCCTGCTCTATGTGGCTACTATAATGAGAAAAAACTCTCCTAACATTCTAAACGATCTCCTAACTTCTCCCAACTCTCAGGGGGGAACCAAGCTTCTCCCACTCCTACATGTTCCCTTACTTATCCAGGTCTTTCTGATCAAGCTAAGACTCCTACCTCCCCAGAAGAATAAACCTTTCTGGGACATTTTTATCAGCTAGTCTGCCTCTATTATTAAGACAAATTTGACATTATTTGGTCTATATTTTAGCTATGAAACTATGACTACAAAAAAAAAAGTAAAGATGATTTTTCTTGACAGTATGACCACAAAATTTGTTAAAACAAGACTTTTTTTCTTTAATTGCAAAACTGGCTCTTTTAGCATGTGCAATTAGAAAAGCTAACTTGATGAAATACTGTTTTTTTTTTTTTTTTTTTCAGAATTCTGACCCTGAGAGAATAAAAATATGCCTAAGAAAAAGCTACATCAACTCTTATCATGTCCTTGAGGTACAAACAGAGCCCACTTTACTTGAGACTTTGGCCTTGGGTTATGTAGAACTTCAAGCCAAGGGGGAAAAAAAGGAGGCAAAGAGACATTTTAAATCTCAAGGAGAAAACTATGAGATCTCTGTCTGTCTGGATTTATATATGTCAGGTAAATGAAAAAAAAAGACTGTCTCCTGATATTTATGGGAATCTCAAACTATTTTGAAAACCTCTAGAAGAGAGAAATCCGGCTGAGCAAATCTGATAGCAGGCCTTTGGCATGGCTTTCTTGGCTTTGAAAGCCTTTTAAGAATTTCGTCTGAGACTCTTTCTGAGGAGTTACACCAGCGTCAGGATTAAATACCTTACATAGTCAATGGACCAAACATTTTATTTTTAAAAATCTATTATTATTTTTTTAATGTTTATCTTTAATTTTTAAATTTATTTATTTAACTTTTGGTTGTGCTGGATCTTCGTTGCTACACATGGGCTTTCTCTATTTGCAGCAAGCAGGGGCTACTTTTTGTGAGGTTATGCAGGCTTTTCATTGCAGGGTCTTCTCACGTTGTGGAGCACAGGCTTTAGGGTGCACAGGCTTTAGTAGTTGAGACTCACAGGCTCAGTAGTTGTGGCACATGGGCTTAGTTGCTCCGTGGCATATGAGAGCTTCCCGGACCAGGGATCGAACCCGTGTCCTTTGCATTAGCAAGCCGATTCTTATTCCTCCAGGGAAGTCCTGGCTGTCTTTATTCTTAATATTTATTTTTATTTATTTACTTGTTTGGCTGTGCCAGGTCTTATTTGCAGCATGTGGGATCTTTAATTGCAGCACTGGACCACCAGGGAAGTCATCAAATTTATTTTAAAAACAAATTCGTCTTGGCTGTGTTTGGTAAAAATGAGGGTAATTTTAGAAAAAAAATTGTTTCACTAAATATGAAATCCTTAAGTCATGTCTGACTCTGCGACACTGTGGACTGTAGCATCAGGGTCTTTTCCAATAGTACCAGGTGGTGCTAGTGGTAAAGAACCTGTCTGCCAATGCAAGAGACAGAGGAGATGCTGGTTCGATCCCTGGATCGGGAAGATTCTCTAGAGGAGGGCCTGGCAACCCACTCCAGTATTTTTGTCTGGAGAATCCCTTGGATAGAGGAGCCTGGTGGGCATTGTCCATAAGGTTTCAAAGAGTCGTACATGACTGAAACAACTTAGCATTCATGCATGGCCTCTAGAGTTATCACTGAGAAAAACACTTGTTCAGTTCTTTGAGACCCCATGGATTGTAGCACACCAGGCTTCTCTGTCCTTCATTGTATCCCGGAGTTTGCTCAAACTCATGTCCAATGAGTCGATGATGCCATCTAACCATCTCATCATCTGTTGCCCACTTCTCCCCCTGCCTTGGTAGGTGGTTTGTTTACCAGTATCACCATCAACAAAGTCTTACATTTGCTCCTGGGAATGTGGTGTTTTAACACTATAAAATGCTTGGGGGTGCTCCTGGATGCTCCCATCCCTCTCTTAATCACCCACTTACTTATTTGCATCCTCACTAGAATGCAAGCTGCCTGAGGGCAGGGACTGTGTCTGTCTCATTCATTTTTTTATCCCCAGAACTTAGTACAGAGCCTGGCACAAAAGTGAAAGTGCACGTGGCTCAGTCATATCTGACTCTTTGCCACCCGATGGACTATACAGTCCATGGAGTTCTCCAGGCCAGAATCCTGGAGTGGGTAGGGGTCCCTTCTCCAGGGGATCTTCCCAACCCAGGTATTGAACCCCGGTCTCCCACACTTCAGGCAGATTCTCTACCAGCTGAGCCACCAGGGAAGCCCAAGAATACTAGAATGGGTAGTCTATCCCTCCTCCAGCAGATCTTCCCGACCCAGGAATTGAACCGGGGTCTCCTGCATTGCAGGCAGATTCTTTACCAGCTGAGCTACCAGGGAAGCTCTAAAGTGCTCCCACCCAAAATTATTGCTGAGTGAATATATTAAATCTTATCAAGTGGTTTGTTACAATTGGCTCATTCCCATATTTCTAATTATATCTTAACCTTAATTTCATTTATTTTTTTGATATTACATGCAGTTTTTCTTTTATTGTGGGAATTTCTAGCATGTACAAAAATTAAAATAAATGTACAGTGTTTCTCATATCCTTCAACAGCATCTATAATTATCAACTCAAGCCTGTCCTGTGTCGTGTATATGCCCATCCACATTCCCCTTTATGTAAAAATGGAGCAGATTCTAGCTATCATATCATGTCACCCTTGTATACTTCATGCACCCATGTATACTTTAGGTGTAAAAATTACACCTAAAATATTAACAATCATTCTTTAATAACATATTCAATCAGCAATCAAGTTTCTACTTGAACGTGTCATAAATAATATTTATGGTTTGTTGAAATGAAATCCAAGTAAGTTTCATGCAGTTGGACTAGTTGATGTGTCTTTTGCTTCCTTTCAAATAAAAAAGAATGTTTCTATGCTCTTCCACGTGCAGGATTATTTACACATTCATTTGGTCAGATCAGTCCATTTCCTTCTTAATGTGCAGCTATTTTTATGCAACGCAAAATCATGCTCAGGTCCTTTAATGCGGAGGTCTGGCTCCGGTGAGAAAGTGCTTTGGTAGTCAACAGTGATCCAAGTTAAGAGGACCTACCTCCACTCCAGCTGCAGCCAGGAGCCACCGGATGGCCTCCATCCTGCCTCGGGCATCGAAATAGTGAAGCTTGGGCTTCCCCGCCATGATAGTAGCTCTTCACTTCCCGTGAACCTGGATGAATCAGACCACAGAGGCAAATTGCACTTTACAACGTCCAGTCCATTTGAACAGAAGGGGTAGCGCCTGCCTTTTTCATGGCAGCATTGGAAGAACCGTGTGGTTCTTCCTTGGTCCACATTCTCACCTAGCAAAGGGTGTCATTGTGAAATTGTACCAAACCAAGTCTCAGATTGCGTCTGTCCTCTCTCAGAGGACTTAAATAGAGCAGGGGCTTAATCTCGCTCAGCTGTCATCTGGGGCTGTGAGGGGACTTGAAACCAGGAAACTTCCCTGACAGAGAAGAGCAGGGAGCTGAGTTGGTCCTTGACTGGCAGGTGGTTTTGTTCAAAAGCATTAACTGCGGCTGAATCCTGCCCTGACTGTCCCTAAACCTTCTAACTTCTCTCCACAGAAGACAAAACTCATTCCTTTTTTTCTTGTTGGAATTCTATATGTTTTTCACTGCTGGATGAATTTTACTTTACGATCGAGAGAAAGAGATGCTGGTGCCCTACCTTTATAGTACACGGAAAGGAACTAACGTAGGTTTAGTGTCTACCACATAGTGGGCATTTTCTCACTTTTTTCCTCATTTCACCTTCACAAAAATTACTCGAGGGAAATTCTGACTGGTCTAAAGTGAGTGGTGAACCTATCCAATTGCACCTTGTTTTTTAAACTGTTTTAAAAAGTTGGGGTATATTTGCTCTCCAATGTTGTGTTGGTTTCTGCTGTACAACATCTTGAATCAGCTATTTACATACACGTATATCCTCTCTCTCTTGAGCTTCCCTCCCACCTCACCCCCACCCCATCCCTCTAGGTCATCACAGACACCAGGCGGACTTCCTTGTGCCATTCAGCAGCATCCCACTAGCTCTCTATTTCACACGTGGTAGTATGCATATGTCAGTGCTACTCTCTAAACTTGTCCCACCATCCCCTTCCCCTCCTGTGTCCACAAGTCTGTTCTCTACATCTATGTCTCTATTTCTGCCCTGCAAATAGGTTCATTGGTACCATTTTTCTAGATTCCATATATGTTCATTAATATATATTTGTTTTTTTCTCCTTCTTACTTACTTTACTCTGTATGAAAGACTACAAATGACCCAATTGCATTCCTTTTTATGGCTGAGTAATATCCCATTGTATATATGTACCACACCTTCTTTATCTATTCATCCATCAACGAATGTTTAGGTTGCTTCCAAGTCCTGTCTACTGTAAATAGTGCCGCAGTGAACATGGGGGTACATGTGCCTTTTGAAATTATGGTTTTCTCAGGGTGTACACCTACCAATGGTATTGCAGAGTCATGTAGTAGTTTTAATTTTAGTTTTTTAAGGATACTCCATTCTGTTCTCTATAGTGGTTGTATGAAGGCACTTTCATTTGACGTCAGTGTTGTGGGATTTTGCTATACCAGTGTGTGCCAATGATGGATTGTGGCCCATTGTGAATTGTGAAATTAACACAGCAGATTCTGACTAGTGTTTTTCAACTGCAATATAACAGTAAATACGAGGGTGTATCATATATAGTTATAGTAAGCACTTTTTGCTAAAACGCACTTAAATTACAAAACCATGTACAACTCCCCTTGTCTTTGTCCTTGAAATAAACTGCTGACTCAAGAGTTAATGACTGGGAAATGTGAAGATGTGAGAACAAAGAATAGCTGTTGGGCTGGAGGACTGGTAACAATTTAGGCTATAAATCTGCTACATAACAGAATCACCCAACTCACAGTTCCCTGAAAGATATAGATAAAGGCCTGACACATATTCCTAAGTTGGTTTTACAAGAAACAGATCCCCTCCAGATGAAAACTGCTGACTACAGGAACATAAACCCTAGACTGGTTGAAACCAGAAGATTGGTGATGCTTGAAACTTCACCTTGATGCCAATCAATCTGAGAATCCATGAGCTGATCACACCCTGCTCCCTTAACACTATAAATCTCCTCACTACCCCATCCAGGGTGGGTCACAGTCTTAAGGGAATTAGCAATAAAAGCTACTCTTTTCTACTTCCTCCAAAACTCTGTCTCTGCGTTGGCACCAACGAACAGAGGACGAGTTTTGTCATGACATTTATGTCATGTGAGTGTAACAGTGAAGCCAAACCTGCCTCCACCCTGGATCTATTCCTTTAGCTCTAACCTTTGTGCTCTATAGCCTTTGCTGAGTCATGCTGGCTCTGCACCTTTTGTAAAAGAATGCTGCCTATAGCCTGAAATACATAGGATAGCTCATTTTCAAAGTCTTTTCCTTCATATAATGATAAAAGTCTTTTCTTCCATATAAGGATAAAACAGTTGCAGAACAAAGAATAACATTTGCCTTGTTGGAGGTTTGTAGAAACATTATGATCAGACCTATGTGGATGGTTGGAAGAACAAAGAATTCACATCCTATATCGTTATGAGTCTGGCTGGCAACAAGAAATTTGCAAGCACCAGCCACACCACCCTCCCCTTTTAGTATAAGCTTGAATTCTAACACAGGTTAGATGGTTCTTTGGGACTCTAGCCCACCACCTTTTTAGTCTGCTGTCTCTCCCAATAAAATCCCAGGCCTTGCCTCAACACCTCATCTCTCTATTTAATGGACGGCTGTGTGGCGAGCAGTATGAACCAGGACTCAGTAATGTGTCAGTATGTGATTGTGTGGTCTGGGTTGCTGTAAAATGTAAGAGACACTTGTGACTGGGACCAGCCAAAGAAGTCTGGTAGATGTTGCTCTAGTCTAAGGCGTCTGCACTAGTGACATTTGGGGCTGGATCCTTCTTTGTTGTCCTGTCATCGGAGGGCAGTTACTTAGCATCATCCCCAGGAGCTGCCAGAAGCATAGTGCCCCTGTCCCCAGCATGGCTGGGTAAGTTCAGCAGTGGTCTTGGGCAAGTTTTATCAGTGATGACAGTACAGAAGCACAGGATTCATTAAAAAGCAAGGATTAGATTGCTTAGACTTAGGGAGGGACAATTTCAGTCCTGTTTTTAGTCAACAGACCTCTGGCCAAAAAAATTTTTTTAAGATTTTGTGGTTGTAGAATCTTTAGCACAGAAGTCCCTGCACAATAGTTATGTTTTTTTGAAACATGTGAAGGCATGTGAAACTGGTACCCTGTAACTTACAAGGCCCATAAGGTAGAAACAAAATGATATGCCAAGAATACCAGCTTACTTAGCAGAGTACCAGAGATCTACAGATAGGAAGACAACTTGATGACAGCCTCTCTAGCTGAGCACTGCCCACTCACACTGATGGCCTAGGATGACTGATAGTCAACTTTAGAAGTCACATGCTGAAAATATACCATGCCTGCACAGAGAACTCTTAAAATGTACATTGAAATTTACACTTACTGTACACTAACCATTTCTGAGCGCTGCCCCCCCCACCCCCCCTACCCCCCAACCCCCGCCCTCTTGCTTCTTACTCCTAAGATAAATATGCCACTCAAAACAGATCAGGAAGACAGATTTCTTCCTGTCTCCTTGCTTAGCTGGCTGCTATAAAGCCTTTTTTTTTTTTTTTTTTGCAAAAGACCATTGCCCCAGTATTTGGTCTTTCTTTTGGGACAAGGAGCTCACTTGCTTGGTTGCAAAACTTGAGTTTTTTGTCAAAATAGTTTATTTTTGTCAAAATAGTTTAAACATTCCAGAAGACCTTTATTTATTTGTATATCTATTTTCTTCATGGACACCTTGTTTTTGGTTGACACATGATGTATTTCTTCTTTATAACAAATTTCCTTCAGGCTTCCTCCCCTAAGACCCCTTGAGCAGTTTCAGGTATCAAGAGATAATGGCTGGTTGGAAACAAGATAGGAGCCTGATGTGGAATCTGCTTTTAAAGGGTTTTAATTTAGTTAGAAGAACAGGCTTGTTGACAACCTACTATGCACAAATAGCCCAACGGTGACTTCATTTTAATTTGGTTCTGAACCAAGGATCATGATTCTAGACATCAAGCAAGTCAGAGCAAGCGGAGTGGCTGAAGGCTGAGAAAGCACAGGCTGCTGAGCCCTGCCCGGGTTGGCTCTACATTCACAGCAGCAACATCCAGGCTGTGACTTTTCCATCCCTCCCTACCTTACATTAGGGGTGCTCCTCATTTTTGTCTAAAACCTGTTCATAGACGTTACAAGTGCTTGTTCTTCATTTCTGTTTCCAAATCTTCTCCCATGGGCTTATTTTAATTTTTTTTCCTGTGACTTCTGTTTTGCCTTGGAAGCTCCAAACTCACTGTGATTTTGCAGGATCTTTGAGATTCTGAGGCTTCTGTGTATGAGACTTTTGTTCTATTCTTTTTAAGTTGGCATTTCTGCTGACTCCCATTATACTGCATCTTACCTACTGGGGGGCTTCCCTCGTGGCTCAGATGGTAAAGCGTCTGCCTACAATGTGGGAGACCCAGGTTCGATCCCTGGGTCAGAAAAATCCCCTGGAGAAGGAAATGGCAACCCACTCCAGTACTCTAGCCTGGAAAAGTCCATGGGCAGGAGAGTCTGGCAGGCTACAGTCCATGGGGTCACAAAGAGTCGGACAGGACTGAGCGATTTCACTTTCACCTAGTGGTGTCATGTACCTTTTAAAAGCCAGCTCTCTGCGCCACTGATGTATCTAGATCTTCCCTCAAGACTTCTCAAGTTATAGAGCTAGAAGTCAGCTAGCCACTCCTTTAAGTGTGAATTAATACACTGTACCCCAGAGAGAGCATGTGTTGGCCAGCTATCTAGTTAGTGATGAAGTCTGGATTAGATTTAGTCCTCCTGACAGACTAGTTTCCTCCTATTGTATCTATTTTGTTATTGAATTTTCACAGCCTGCAGAGATTACAGTTTCTGTGCCCCCACTAACCTGTGAGCTCTCAGGAAGTAGTAACATCATCATAGTCTTTAACACAAGACATTGCTCAAAATTTAACACACCTTCCGTGTAACATGGCATGATTAGACAGCCCAAGAGCCACACATG